GGATATGCAGAGAGAGTAATCTGGATAACACAGTTGAGATAGTATCTATTGTTTTGGGTCCATGCTTCAGCTCTGATGTTTGATCTTTTAAGCCCCAGAGAGTCAAAGGCTCTATCTCAAGGCTAGATCCCAGTCAACAGTGTGGCACTCTTGGCTTTTCAACACTCTTGGCTTGGGAACAAAGGGGGTTCAGGGAAACACTGCCTGCCATTTTTAAAGATAACACTTGGAAATAAGGACAGGTTTAGCCAAAATGGAGACAATTGTTCCTCCATCAAGGAGAGTTGCCCTGGTGGTCCTCCACAATGAGGGACATTGAATATCTATGCCATGGCACTATTATCACATTTTATGTTATTATTGTACAGTAGTTTCCCTTCACAATTCATTTATTATTGTTTTATGTGTCAATAGTTGTTTACCAGTTTTCTTAGGCTAAGCATTCATTTTCACGTTTCAGATCTTCTGGGTTCAAAATCCTTTATAAGAATCTACTGGTGTTTGTTTTGGTCTGAAAACGTTACTTTGCTCTAAAGTTTATCCCATTGTCTCTAGCTTCACTAGAGTGTGCTGTCTTTGTCATTCTCTTTAAAATGGGTCCTTTCAAATGTCTGTTTCCAAGATTATTATCTTCTGTAATTTAGTCAATGTGTCTTAACTACTAATATATTTTTATATGCATACAATTCATTATACTTCCAACATATAAAATATTATAATACTTTCTCTCCCTAGTCTATTCATTACTTCTAGAACTCCAATTGGATTTTAGACTTCATCCTTCTAGCCTCCATTTCTTTAATCTTTTCTATAGATCTTCTGTTTATAATTTTCTGTGAGTGTGGGAAGGTAGCCATTACTTTGTGTCTTTAAAATGCAAATTTTTTATTTTAAAAGAGAATACAAAACAGAAAAAATAGAAACAATGTAGAATTTCACTAAACAAAATGGTAGGAATTGAACAATGGTTGTTATATTGTATATTGTTGTCTTCAAATTAGTTGCTCAGATTACCAGATACAAGCCTGTAAGATTGGTCAAAAAATTATAAAAACTTCAAAAGCAGAAAGAAAAAAATATTAAGCATTAACTGTTCCTTTCAATAGACCAGCAGAAATTAGTTATACAATTATCCAAGCGATCCTATGTGCATACATGTTTTTCCTTTCTTTTCTCCTTTCTTCATCTATTATTCCTTCCCTTTGAACAGTTCCTTTCTGTTTCATAGGATCCACTGTATCTTTCATATCCTATTCATTATTTCAGGTTCTTACACTAGGGAGACAACATGTTTACAATATGGCATGCAGGTCTCATT